TAGTTCTCTATTTTCTACATTCATCCACGTTTCGGTAAGTGCAATAATATCTATTTTTTCTGTGCAGACAAGAGCATTTAATTCGTTAATTTTATTTCTTAGACTTCTACTGTTAGTGTAATATACCCTAAGTGAATTGTTATTTTGCGGACCTTCTCTTTCCCTGATCGTTTTGCCAATTCCTTTCTCCCACAAACACATACTTTTATTACCTCCTTCCTCCAAATCAATTCCCATACCTCTATCTACTAACAGTTTAAACCCAAACAAACACCTCTAACCACTTCTTCTAACGAGTTCGCAACAGCAACAACCCCAGCTCTCGATAGATGCACCCCATCACGAGCATACATTTCATTTCTTCCATAGAAGTGTTCCCAGTTGTCTATGAAAGATATTGCATTTGATTTGCAATATCTTTCCAGCCGGCAATTGACACCAAGTGCCCTCGATATCCATTCATTTCCCACTCCCTTTCTTGGAAGAATGCCACATATGATCGGGATTCCTCCCTTGCTCCTAACTAACTCTATGGCTGTTTTATACCTCTGAATCAGTTCCTCACTCCTAACTCGACCAACATCATTTCCTCCCACGCTAATGCAAATAATGGGATTGTTCCCATTACCAGCCATAATATCATTCATGTTGTTTATAATATCACCAATGCCAGCTCCGGGATAGCAAACCCTTAACCTGTTCCCCCTATCTCTAGCACAAAACGTTCTATCCAAATACCTTATCTGGGAATCTCCCACAACTAATGTTTGCTTAGGTACTTCCTTTACTTTCTGAGGGGCCTGCGCTTCCTTTCTCTTCGTTGCTTTCCCTTTTGCGCGATCCACAGTCTCTCCACAGCACTCGTCCTCCAAAACGTCAAATGAATTAGAAGTTGCTATGGCGTTTGAAGGCGGCTTTATCAAAGTCTTCTTAAGGCCCCTGTCTTTCACAACTCTCCAAGACGAGGTCCCTTTACTGCTGGTCTCCTCCTTCGTTACTTCTCGTTGTTCTTTAAGCTGACGCACCTCCTCCCGCAGAAAGTCCAACTCTGTCCTCAGGGCTCCCACTAGAGTCACCAGGTCCTTCACTACAACTTCCATATTGCTATGATAATATAACAACACTCAGGAGCTCCGGTTAACACAACCTCTCACTGTGACTTCACCTGACCGACTGACGAAGCTTAGTTGACGAAGTTGCCCATAGCTTAGTGGTTCGCTATGGGCAACACATATGTACATGGGTATATATAGTCTAAGAACAGCAACAGGAGAATGTTGAGAGGAGCTATTTCGGTGAGGGAGGTGACGTAATCGTAGCGTCGTCTGCTGTGTGATTTTTCATGCAGTGTATGGTGGCCACTGTACTGTTTGGACACAATACCGGCTTACTTCCATAGTTCTGGTAAATAAAACATGTATATAGGTATATAGAACATGTGTAATAAGAACTATAATAATATGGTGGGAGGAACAATGTTGGCGAGTAAGATGTTGGAGTGAGGGAGACTGGCTGGGTGAGGCTGCTCTCACTCGAGGTGTTCTGAATGTGTTCATGGCTCCTATTCATACGAGGCAGCTGCTATTGGCCCATACGAGGCAGCTGCTATTGGCCCATACGAGGCAGCTGCTATTGGCCCATACGAGGCAGCTGCTATTGGCCCATACGAGGCAGCTGCTATTGGCCCATACAAGGCAGCTGCTATTGGCCCATACAAGGCAGCTGCTATTGGCCCATACGAGGCAGCTGCTATTGGCCCATACGAGGCAGCTGCTATTGGCCCATACGGGGCAGCTGCTATTGGCCCATACGAGGCACCTGCTATTGGCCCATACGAGGCAGCTGCTATTGGCCCATACGGGGCACCTGCTATTGGCCCATACGGGGCAGCTGCTATTGGCCCATACGGGGCAGCTGCTATTTGCCCATACGAGGCAGCTGCTATTGGCCCATACGAGGCAGCTGCTATTGGCCCATACGAGGCAGCTGCTATTGGCCCATACGAGGCAGCTGCTATTGGCCCATACGAGGCAGCTGCTATTGGCCCATACGAGGCAGCTGCTATTGGCCCATACGAGGCAGCTGCTGTTGGCCCATACGGGGCAGCTGCTGTTGGCCCATACGAGGCAGCTGATATTGGCCCATACGAGGCAGCTGCTATTGGCCCATATGAAGCAGCTGCTACGCGGTGTTCTGAATGTGTTGATGGTGAATGTATATAGTGTGTGACAGTGTATAGTGTGTAAATAGATTGTATATATACACAAATTAGCATGATACATAGTAAATATGTGCTGCATATGTGCGCACAAGTTTCATGCACGTAACACAGTGTCTACGGACAGTACGGATGTTGTACTGCGATATTATAGTGTACGTGTTCATTATACATTGGATTGGCACATAAAAACAATGAAAATGTATTTGGAAAGGTGCGCAAAAAATGAACGAAAATATATTCGCGGCAACTCGCGCACCCCGCCCCGAGCGCCCCACCGCCCCCGAGAGCTTACGGCACGGCGCACGGGGAATGATGACGTCACGCCCCAACTTCCGGACCCCATAGCAGCCAAAGTAAGTACAATTTCGACTTTTTTTTTTACATACCCATACTGAGGGAAGGGTTTTTGACACTTTAAAAAGAAAAAAGAATTTTTTCCAGAGAATTTATTTCCTGCGCACTGTGGGGGTGTCACATTTGGAGGCAACGCAGTTAAGGGGTTAACAAGAACCATACCTCAGCCTCAAACCAGCCTAATGAATATAAATTGAACTAATGAACTCCTGAAGAATGTAAACAAACTATTGAAAATTTGTGAAACTAGCACGAGCTAGCCACCCCCCCCTCCCCCTGATGGTGGAGGCAGACTATGTTAGCTGGCTGCTCCACCACCAGTTATGATGGAAACTACCCCGACACCCTGACGGAGACCGGGTGTCAGGGCGCCACCGGGTCTCGCCCTAAAATTTGTATCTCGTTAAACAGAACGCAATTTTTCTGGGGAAGTCCCTTGTGTCTTCCTGAAGCTATCTACCCACAGAGAAGGAAGAAAAGGGCTCTTACTGTATCAGGAGGATGCACTGCAGATATCAAGATGAAGAGGAGACCAACATCCACGACACTTGACCCAAGCCAATTGAGGACCGGGAATGTTCACAAGATACCGTGGTGCCAAACCCCTGCGCCTGAATATTGGCCCATGTCTTGTTGGCAAAAACAACAGTGTGGCATGTTTGTGCACAATATGGACATGAGGGTAGACAACAGGGTGGCTAGATTTAATGACACTGTGGATGACTTGAACAATAGAGAGCCATGGAACAGGCAACTGGGGAAACTGGGTCAACTTAAAAGGATTACACAAACAGAAACAGTGGCAGAAAGATAGCAGCACAAAGCCGACAAAGCACATTGTGCCCCCCCCTCCCCCCGGCCAAACTGACCAAGCTTCCACGACCAAGGAATCCCTCCACAAGCCAACCGATTCAATCTTCGCCAGAAAAGGTGGCAGCTGCAAAAGAACAAAATGCCCACCAGGGCCAAAGGCATAAAAACCCAAGCCTCACAGGAGAGCATGAAGCTTACCCACCCGACAACCAGAAGCTAGAGAAAGCATCAATAATTTTTTAAAAACATTCCCGGACCGAAGGTGCCACGGTAAACTGAGTGGATGAAAAAAAAAACTGTCAAGGAACCAGGCAGGCTCAGGTGGTTCATGAGTGGGCTGGAGGTGAAACAATGCTCAAGAACAGTTGCAAAATGGGGCCAAAGAGGTATGAACCCTGAAGGCAAGCTGGAGCGGCTTCGCCAACGCCACACGATAAGAGGTGACAGTATTCAGCATAAGATGCCAAGAAAGAAACGACAGAACATCCCATTTTGAAACTGAAGAACGATGATGAAGTGACAGAAAACAGTGGAAGGTATGCCAAGATACCTCCTACTGTCACCATGAAGAAGACTGCAGGTGTTCCACCTACAGTTTTCTTCACGGCAACAGTATGAGGATCAAAATCATACCACAGCTTTTGAGGCTGTGGTATAGTTCTGAACCAAGCAATGGTATAGTTTTGAACCAAGCAGTGGTCTGTTTTGTTTTGCTGTCTTTCTGGGGGAGAAATTTTTCATAATGCCACTGCTTGCTGCACCCCTGAGGAGGCTAGGTTTTGACTCGTGGTCCCTGGTAGGCCAATAAGAACTTTGCACCTGATGGCACCTAGTAGTCTGGTACTTTATCACTACAGTAGCTCCAGGGAGTGCAAGGGGCTTCCCCCAGAAATTACATGAGTGTGCATGTGGAATTAAATTTGTAAGTGAATGTATTTTTCTAGTGCCTGGAGTAAAACCTTATTGGCTTAATATCCAAACAACACATCGGAAAATGAAGAAATGATGACGTTGTGGTCTGTACTGGACTACTATTTTCTGATGTATCTATTAGATATCATATCTCGAGTCATGCTGTTGTGACTCGGTCACAACGGCTTGTCCCTCAGGAGGTTGCCAACACCTTTAAGACTGCCAAGGTCAATCTTGAAGGTGTACTGAGAATTATCCTCCAATTTATAAGGCAGCAATTTAATAGCATATTGATAGTGAGGAACACAGTTCTGACAATGATGTAGTGAAACATTAAGAAGAGAATGATTTAATAGCAGTTAACAATTTGCATGTAAGGGCAGTGATAAAGCCCTTACAGGTGAGACTTCACTGGATACTAAAGTAAACTTTTCTTGGTGTTATTAGTGGTAGTAAAAGTAACATTTGTTACTTTTGTTATTAGCATTTATTATTCTCAGTGCTGGAAACTCATTCTTTACAACTGTTACTCTATAACATGTTGGAAGGCAAGTAAATAAACTGTGTTAGACCTTGTTACTTTGTCACCCTACATGGAATGTAACAAGTAATTTCTTTAGTAAAATTTGATAGAGCAAGATAACAGATTGGAGTGGTAGTGGTGTGAAATGTTTAATAGTAAGTAATATTGTTTTTGTAGGTGAGAGTAAAAGTGACACCAATTGACCTAAACATCAGTCCCCTTGAACCTCACATGGGAGGAATAGAAGAGAGTACAGACTTTGACATTTCCAGTCTACATATCAACACAAGACCTACTTGGCCTGTCACGGAAGTTGCCGTAAGTCTGCCTATTTTTCTTTGTATTTACTCACTAGGCTGGGGAAGGTGTTGCACTAGCCAAGTTGCATAAAGGGATAACACTATATAACAGGCCAGAAGCATCTACAATACAATATAACATTGATTAAATTTCTAGTGGAATATTTTTGGATTTCATGGGAAATGCATGTGATCCATCTAGAGTCAGTCTTTTGGCCTCTGCTGTTACTGATTTCTGAAAATAGCATGGCTGAGGGGATGAATTTCTGCATGTCAATGTTTGCAGAGGATATGAGCTAACAACTGTTACAGTTGTGAATGGTTTAGTACTTGAAGAGAACATAGATAAGCTGAAGGAGTGAACAGATAAATGGCTGCTAAAATTCATTTCCACTAAGTGTAGGGTGATGATGGGGAGAGAACAGAAACCAGAAGGGTATTAGCAGATTATTACTCAGAAATCACAATAGCATGATGCATAAAATGAATAAATCCACAAGGGCCGTGATGAGAGTTTGAACCTACTTCTGAGAGGAAGAGGTATGAAGCCTAACACCCTGGTTTCTCTCTCGGAGAGACTGCAGGATCCGTGTGAGGTCGGTAGAACTCCCGGTTGCAATTCTTTTAACCATATTGTGCCACAGTCGATTAAGGTGCATCTGGGATCCTCTCTGATGTAAGTTTGAACCCTCATCACGGCCCTTGTGAATTTGTTCATAAGCAGATTATTTTACTGATACGGGTAGATAATATTAATTCAACATTAATACAGTACTGTGAGTACATATAGATAAGATAATGGAGCAGATGCAAATCTGGTAAACAAAGTACAGTATTGGTGTTAAATCTGTAGCTACCGATTTCATAACCTTGTGATATTCCTCGATACCCCATGGAAAAACCAACTGATTGTTAACATTTTCTGTAAGTCAACAGCATATAGTGACCCCCCCCCCCCAAAAAAAAAAAAAAAAAAAAAAATTGGTTTGCAGCAAATTTAAAATGAAAAATTTCTGCACTTATTTTTTTTTGTCACGAGAATATAATGTAGTAGTAAAGAACCAATTTAAACTTGTTTTTCTGTAATAGTTTAAAATGATTTCTCATAAATGAACTCCCCAGAATTACTAAAACAAAATTAAATCCCAAGACTAGCAGCCTCCGATGCCTGAAAGTACAATCTCAAGCACTGTCTGACACCTGAGTGACTGGATATCAAATTCTTCCAATTCCAAAAGGGCTAAATCATTAAAAATTCTTATCTTGTAATGCAGCACCTCACTCTTGCTAGATTTAGTCTGTCTTCTGTATATGCAAAGCTCTTTTCTGAGGAAGGTGCTTAGCTGTACCTTAGGTACTCTTCTATCTGATACCTGTATATGTATTAAACAAGTAGATCTTTATTGAAAGGCATTCTTCAATGTTATAGCCAAGTGCACTAAATTGGGGTACCATGCAATTTGACCTGAAGCATGAAAGTATCAAACAACTCTTCAGGAGTTTTAAGGTGTGAGTAGTATTGTGAATGCATGTATGAGTAGATTCAGTGCATTCTGAATTGTCATGTAGTAATAGTGATGATGGGGTGCATACAGAACTCGCTGGACAGTTGTATGGTTGTTCGAGCTCTCGTCCTTAGACACGTTGATCGTGGTGGATAAAAATAATCACTTTTATTTAATGTACACATCATCCAAAAATGATAAAGCCTAAAGCTGCTATAGATGGTAGTACAAAATATGGACTGTGGTACACACACACGCACGCACACAGTTTTGTACAAGTAATTTTCCAGATGTCCTGAGTAAGAAGGCAACAACCACCCATAATTTGTCTTAGGCCTAGTATAATATACTGTACAGTACTGTGTGTGTGTGTAATTACCTAAGTGTAGTTACATTATGAGAGCTATGCTCGTGGTGTCCCGTCTTCCCAGTACTCTTTGTCATATAACGTAAAATTCATTCTCAGGAGAATTTTTATTTTCAAGAAAATCCTTCATTCGTTATATCATCGTGTCTTCGGTGGCGGTGTCATTACTTGACACCGCTGCTGCCACCGCAAAACTGTGTAAACTTTGTTTCTGCCTCTGCCGGTAATCGAACCTGGGTCCTTAGGACTACGACCTTCGAGCAGTGTCTTTTCGCTCACGGGGACTTTGTGTGTGTACTCACCTAGTTGTACTCACCTAGTTGTGTTTGCGGGGGTTGAGCTCTGGCTCTTTGGTCCCGCCTCTCAACCGTCAATCAACAGGTGTACAGATTCCTGAGCCTATCGGGCTCTGTCATATCTACACTTGAAACTGTGTATGGAGTCAGCCTCCACCACATCACCCCCTAATGCATTCCATTTGTCAACCACTCTGACACTAAAAAAGTTCTTTCTAATATCTCTGTGGCTCATTTGGGCACTCGGTTTCCACCTGTGTCCCCTTGTGCGTGTCCCCCTTGTGTTAAATAGACTGTCTTTATCTACCCTGTCAATCCTCTTCAGAATCTTGAATGTGGTGATCATGTCCCCCCTAACTCTTCTGTCTTCCAGCGAAGTGAGGTTTAATTCCCGTAGTCTCTCCTCGTAGCTCATACCTCTCAGCTCGGGTACTAGTCTAGTGGCAAACCTTTGAACCTTTTCCAGTTTAGTCTTATCCTTGACTAGATATGGACTCCATGCTGGGGCTGCATACTCCAGGATTGGCCTGACATATGTGGTATACAAAGTTCTGAATGATTCTTTACACAAGTTTCTGAATGCCGTTCGTATGTTGGCCAGCCTGGCATATGCCGCTGATGTTATCCGCTTGATATGTGCTGCAGGAGACAGGTCTGGCGTGATATCAACCCCCAAGTCTTTTTCCTTCTCTGACTCCTGAAGAATTTCCTCTCCCAGATGATACCTTGTATCTGGCCTCCTGCTCCCTACACCTATCTTCATTACATTACATTTGGTTGGGTTAAACTCTAACAACCATTTGTTCGACCATTCCTTCAGCTTGTCTAGGTCTTCTTGAAGCCTCAAACAGTCCTCTTCTGTTTTAATCCTTCTCATAATTTTAGCATCGTCCGCAAACATTGAGAGAAATGAATCGATACCCTCCGGGAGATCATTTACATATATCAGAAACAAGATAGGACCGAGTAC